AGAGAGAGAGAGAGAGAGAGAGAGAGAGAGAGAGAGAGAGAGAGAGAGAGAGAGAGAGAGAAAAGGAATAAGGATAGGAAAGAAGTTAAATTTTTGTTATTTGCAGATTACTTGATGCTCTGCCTATGCAGAGGGTCTTCTATAAGACCCCCAAAACTCCACCAAAACACTTGTGGACTTATTAACTAAATTCAGTAGCATATCCGGATACAAAGTCAACACTCAAAAATCAATAGCATTTCTGTACACAAACAACAAACTTATTGACTGCCGGGCATGGTGATGCACCCCTGTAATCCCAGCACTCAGAGGCTGAGGCAGGAAGATCTTTGTGAGTTTGAGGCCAGCCTGGGCTACAAAGTGAGCTCAAGTCCAGCCTGAACTGCATAGTGAGACCCTGACTCTAAAAAGACAAAAACAAACAAACAAACAAACAAACAAACAAAACCAAAAACCAAAAAAACCAAACTCATTGAGAGAGAAATTAGGGAAACCACACCCTTTGTAATACCATCCAAAAAAATGAAATATTTAGGAATCAATCTAATAAAGGAAGTAAACAATCTGCCCACTGAAAAGTGCAATATTCTGAAAAAGGAGATTGAAGAAGATATCAGAAAATGGAAAGATATCCCTTGCTCATGGTTAGGAAGAACCAACATTGTGAGAATGGCCATACTCCCCAAATTGTTATACAGATTTAATGCGATCTCAATCAAAATACCACTAGCATACCTCACATAATTAGATAAAACATTGCTAAAATTCATTGAGAACCAGAAGAGACCTAAAATAGCAAAAGAAATTCTGGGCAAGAAAGACAAGGCAGGAGACATCACAATACCTGACTTGAAATTATATTACAAAGCTACTGTGATAAATTCAGCATGATACTGGCAAAAAGACAGACCTGAGGATCAGTAGAACAGATCAGAAGATGTAGACAGAACTACAAGCACACTCAGCCACCTCATCTTCTCAGATGAAGACATAGAAACAGCAAATAAGTATATGAAAAAATGTTCAACAGCACTGGTCATTTGAGAGATGTTAATTAAAACAACACTGAAATTCCATCTCACCCTAGAAAGAATGGCTATCATCAAGAAATCAACCAATAACAAATGCTGGAGGGGCTGGGTTGGGGGAAGAATCCTTCTCTACTGTTGATGGGAGTATATGCAAACATTGTGGAAATCAGTGTGAAGATTCCTCAAAACAACTAGGATTGGAGGCCCCATTTGATCCAGCTATTCCGCTTCTGGGTGTCTTTCCAGAAGAATTAAAAACATCGTACCACTGGTGATATATGTGCATCCATGTTTATAGCAGCACAGTTTGTAAGAGCTAAATCTTGGAAACAACTCAAATGCCCATCAACCAAGAAATGGATAAAAAAGATGTGATATTTTTATACAATGGAATACTACTCAGTTATGAATTAGGATAAACTTGAGACTTTTATAAGTAAATGGATACAACTTGAGGCCATACTTATAAGTGAAATAAATCACTCTTGCATGTGTAAACATCATATTGTCTTCCTAGAGTAAGAAGTTGAAAGTGCAAATAAGATCCAAAATGTACAATAGATATTGGGAAATGGAAAGAAACTGTTCAAAAGGAAAGAGAACCTGGGATGAGGGAAAGGAGAAAAGAAGGAAGGGAAAAGTAAAAGTAAATATATATGATAGTTAAGATAGCTAAACTACTAATTTCTATTAGTTCATTATTGAAAAGTTTGTGCTTATATAGTTTGATTCATTTTCCATACTTATATCTTCTAATCTGAACAACTACCTGAAGATAACAGTAAGCCATGTACTGACCATTGTTACTCTCCTACTAACTTGTTTTGAATTTTTGTATCATTGTTCTTCTTGTTTCTTTTCTTTAAAATTAAAAAAAATGACACTTAAACAATCACGAAGAGCCTTTCTTAATGTGCACTGGGAAATGAGAGAGGAGGGAGCTGGGTGAAGAGGAGGCTTTCTCATGTCACAGGGAGAGAAGGACCTGTGCTAGAGGAAGGCTGAACTCAGATTAAACAGAACAGATTATTCTAGTTTCACAACCAAGAAAACCTCTGGTCATGTGAAGATGTATCCCTCAAGCACCACAAAGTATCAGTTCAAAACATACAAAAGTTTTCCAGGCTGAGTGTGGGGGATTGCTGTAGGCAAGAAGAAGAGCATATGCAAAGAAAAGAAGAATATTCTTAGAGCCACATGTCAGTCAGCAGAGCAGGGTCTAAGAGTGAGAAAGGATATGATAGAGAAGAGAATGGAGAAGTGTGGAGACCAGATCACTAACCTTGCTGTACTTTGCTGAGGGTTAGGGACCATATCCTGATGACTTGATGATCCATTAACATGCGAGGCATTTAAACAGAGACAGTAGCATAATTAGCTGTTGGTTTAGAAAGGCCCTTATGGAAAAAATGAAGAATGAATAAAAGGAGGGAAAGTATAGAGCTGGGACAAATATCTCAGTGGTCTGGGAGAAATTCAGACCAGCAATAAGGGGAGCTGGAACTAGTCCAGTGTTCCTAGAACTGGTTCTGCTTCTCCTTCTCTCACCCCAGCCTACTGCCTGGGGATCTCATAGCATAATTTCCCCTTCAGATAGGTCAGTGCTTTACATTCTGTGCATTTGCACATTTCTTGTATCTTCCCAACCAGAAATGTTCATAAGTGATGAGGCCACAGAGTTGGAGACAGGTTCAAGTCTGTTTCTCCCGGTGGGTCTCTTGCCTGGTAAGACTGTGGAGGGGAAGGAGAGGCTTACAGACAGACTGTGCAGAACAGGAAGTAGCCATAGTGGCTCCTCAGAAGTGCCAGAGTTTGATGAAGTCACAGAAAGTCCCCTTGCCGGAGATGTCCCAACCTCCGACCTGAGAAGGAGGGAGAGAAGGTTGAGCTTAGGGATCTATGACACCTAACTCCCATTGTCTGAGTTTTTTCATTCTTTGACAACTGCTATGATCTTTGGATCTCGTTAGCTCTGCATGTCTTTCTCTGTCCTCATCCTACCATCTAGAACTTGGAGATTCCTTAGAAAAGAAGTCCAGAGACTAGGAAAAAAAGCAACCACAAGCTTCCCTTGGTTCTGTGGGTAACTTATCCTGAAAAGATGATGCCCTGACTTACCTCATCTCATCAGTAACTTACCTGAGGGGACCATTTCAAACACCTTCAATGACATCTGTGTCCATGCATGAGCTATAGGATCAGAAGGCTTTTCCTCCCCACAGTCAGGGTGCCAGTTTCCTGGGGCCTCAAAAGAAGACATAAAGGAATGAAAGTGTTTTGGCTGGCATAAAGACAGACAGAAAAAGTGGGAGACACAGAGGCAATAGGAAAGAAGGGGCACTCCCCAAAGAGATACAGAAGGAAGGGAAGGAGTCAAGTTGAGGTAAGCTGGAGAACTTAATTTTCAATGGAGCAGCTTGGACAGATAAGAGCAGAGAAAGGAGATGCAGGCAAAGTGTTAAGAAGGAAAACAAAGGAAATGTGGAGAGAAAAGCAAGCAGGAAAAGATAAGAAAGAAAGATAAAGGGAAGAACGGGTGAGATATGATTGAGATATACAAAAATATATGAAACCAGAGGACTTTGGGGGATTTCAAGGAAATAAATTCATATGGGTAAGTTTATAAGAGTGAAAAAATGAGAGGATTCATTTAGTATAAACTCTCTTTATCTCTTAAACTCAAGGAAAAAAAATCAAACTATTACAATATCCTTAAAACACACAAATCATTCATCTTCTATTGTCTAACACTATCCCCTCAATTCTCCTGATTTTATACGTCATACAACTGTGAAAAATAGAATGTTTCCTGAATATGTTTTTCTTTACATCACTGAGTCTTAAATGAAACTAGCCCTCACCCCAGAGAGAGCCTACCTTTTCTTCTTTTCCTATGAAAAGGGAAGCAAATTCCAATTTATGCTGTCAACACATAGTCTAGGTTTCCCTGCAATGGAAGGGCTTGCCTATCGCACGCATTCTTGTTCCAGAACCTTCACCAAACCTTCAAACCTTCAGGAAAGAATGCAAGCGCAGGCTGTGTTGAAGAAATACAGGTGGAGTAGAAGATAGAGACTGAAAATTCAGAGGAAATAACAAAGCTGAGACTTGTATAAAGGGAGAAGTTGAAGAGAATGGAGGAATGGATATGTGAAAAAAGGAAAGAACGTGGGGATTACATTAAAAATAGGCCCAGAAGTATTGGAAGAGATGGAAGAAAGGTTTCTGATGCTACAGTGAACTGATGGAAAGCAAAGCTAGAGGGCTCCACTGAGGATGATGCACAGCAGCTGCACCCCCGGTATACAGAGTGTAGGGGAGTCTTCGTGCTGCTAGATCACTTCCCAACTTGCCCAACAATCTGCTAGCCTGCTTTCCTACCCAGGAGTCCTTGTCACTGGCTTTAGCTTTCTCTATCAGGAGCTGCATAAGACCTACTGTCCCTATGCTTTCTCCCCAGAAGAAGCTGAAGAAGTCTGTGCAGGGGCCACTCTGCTGTTCCGGAGGCCAGGATACAGCCTGGATCCAGGAGGTCCAAACATGCAGGAGTCTCACTCGAGGCTGAGGATAGCAACTTTGAGCTAGGAGAAAGGAGCAAAAGGGGCAAGAGCTCCCCAAAAGATCTGGCAAAGAAATGCCTGATTCGAAATGAAGGAGCGACTAGCTGGGACAGCACAGGTCTGACTGGTGTCCTGGCACAAGATTCAGGGCAGAAGAACTTCAGAATCCCTGGGGAATGCGAGGATGAGCAGCTAGTGAGCCAGGAGCCTCAGACACATGGACCTGGGACCGCGACAGAGATGCTGTCTAGGTGGGGTTCTGGAGTCTTGCTTACAAGGACTGCAGTTTGCAAAGATGTAGAACCAAACCACAGAGGAGCCAAGGAGCAGGCCTGAAAGCAGTAGAGTCAGCAGGGCCCTCCTGGCTAGTGTCTACTTAGAGGGCAGCCTGTCTTCTGGAGAGCTCTGTGGGAGCAACCAGGAGGTGGAAACACAGACAGAGAGGGTTGGGAGAGAAGGACAGAGGGGAGACGCAGGGAGGGGACAGGGGACAAATAAGTTAGAGCCAGGGCCCCTCTGCACAGAGGGAACTCTGCTCAGCCTCTGGGAAACACAGCCTTCAGACCCCTGGGAGAGAAGGCACCTGCCTTGGGTGAGGATAAAGCAAGGGTGTCTATACAGAGCTTGAGGGGAGAAGACCCAGGCTGCACAGGAGCCCACTGACCTGCCCGGAGGGAGGCTCCATTCCACTGGCTGACTCCATCTGCTTGGCTCTTGCCTGCTTCTGTCCCCTCAAACCAAAGTGAATAAACACAGAAGAAGAAGAAGCTGGTTAGGAAGCGGCTCCATTAAGGACAGTCCTAGCAGAGCACTCCAATGCCTGTCCCCTCCTACCTCCCCACATTCACATGTGCTTGCGTCCAGGCAGTGTCTCCAGATGGGCCCCAGAATGAACCTCTCCCCTGGTCAAACCAGCTTCCCTCCCTCTCCTTCCCTGTCCTGGCCTGGCCCTGTCTGTTCTGGAAGCCTCCAGTGGGGGCAGGGCTCTCACACCCCCTCCCCCACCCTAGGCAGCCCGCTCCACCAGAGACCGTTTCTCCCGCGCACTCACCATCAGTCTGTCCTGTGCTCGGGCTCCCAGGAGCCTTCCTGGTGCTGCTCTAGGTGCTGGTGCTCAGGACTGGGATTGAGGAAATGGCTTCCCTTCTCCTCAGGCCCAGTTCCATGTTCCTGGAGAAGGAGCAACTTCTGTCCCTCTACCACTCTGTCCCCAAACAGGCACTGTTGGTGCTGGGTGAAGCCTATTCATCTGTGGGAGGCACGCAGGCCTGTCCTTCCTGTTTATCTCAGCTTGTCAGGAGAGAAGATGGAGTCATCTTCACTGGGCGAGCAGACTTGCGCTTGGTTCGCTCCTCTTACCCTGCTCTGTGACTTGGTTCACTAAATTCCTTTATTTCCGGAATATTCTTCCCCCTCTCTCCTTTCTTCTCTGATTGAAATCTCACGGTTCCTCTCATTCCCAGGTCAAATGCCATCTCACCTGGGAGGACCGCAGCTCCGTGTCCATTCACACTGTCCCCATGTATGCTTCATTGCTACTTTAGAAGGTTCATGGCCCTGCTGGCTGCAGGCAGAGCCATGCTTTAAAAAGATCATCCACCTAGGAGACCTGGATCTGCTAATTATTAGCTCTGTGACAATAAAGAAGCCACTTAAACTCTCAGGCAGGTAAGCAGTTTTGTCATCTGGAAAATGACGGCAATATTTTCCTATGTCTACCTCACAGGGGCTCCAGCCTGCAACAAAGAAATGAGACTTTACACAACCTCTTTCTTTATTCTGCATTCTGTTAGGCCACTGGCTCTAATCTCTATCTACCTGCCGATTGAAAACTGTTTCACAGCAAGTACAGTATTTTTTCCCACCCATCCACCCCAGATGCTTCATAAATGTTAGTAAGAATGAACTGATTTTCATTCTGGAAACGCTTTTCCACTCCATACTGAGCCCAAACCTGCAGCCTCAGTAAAGCAAGCACACCTTTAAGGGCATGATTCTGCCTCAGTGTCTGTGTCCTCATCCTATTCAAGTGGAGTTTGTTATGATGGTCCTCTTAAGGACACCATGGCAAGATTTCCTAGAGCAGCAGCACTGTGCTACACCCAGGGTGCACTTATTGGGATGGAGGTGGGCATAGGAGGATGGCTCCATAGATGGAGAAGTAGAGAAAGCTATGTGTCAACAGGGCCCACATTATGGAGCATAAGAGACACATGAAGGAAAGCTGGAACTTCATGCAGCAGAACACAAGGCAGTAGGGAAATTGAGGGTTTTGACAAAAGTGTGAAAGTTTCACCCTAAGGCTGAAGTGGTATTAAGGACCTGTCTGACTGAATGAAAGACAGAGACACTGGCTACTTTGGTGTTGCAGAAATGAGCAAGTGAGGGCCTGGTCCAGAATGATGGCAAAGGAGAAGGAAGTGCATAGAAAGAAAACTTCATGCAAGAGAGTCAAGCCACGGATCCTGGTTGGTGGGAAGGGGTATAACAGACTCGTGGATGCCTGCCAACTTTCATTTCTCAAGGCTAGGAGAATAGTGATGCCAGCAACAGAAAAAGTGGAGTCTTGGTTAAAGGTGAGGGTGGGGATGAGCCTGAAGAATCAAGGTGCCCAGTATCTTAGATGTCTTTGGTCTGCTGGGGTGCAAAGCAATAGTGCCTTCTCTTCCTCAGGCAGTCCAGGACACTAAGCAGGAACATCTGCCTTCCTTCACCATTTTCCCTTCCCACTCCTTCTCTGTCCATGAATCCCCTGAGCTGATGTCTTTCTCTAGAAGGATGGTAATGGGCACACCTCAGACTAGATAAGAGATAATGGGTGGTTGGTGAAGTTGGCTGGTTAGAGCGTGATGCTGACACATACCAGTCCACTGTAGCTGGTGGGTGGGCACCCATTGCAACCTGCACTTAGGCTCTCTCCTTTTTGGGAGAAGCTCAGCCAACTGTGGGTGGCAAGAAACCCTATTGTTTCACCTTTCCCTACCAGCTACCTCCTGATGGCAACGTAATCCCTTGTGTTAGACCTTCGTCACGAGCACGACTTCCTGTTGTGTTCTTAGTCCTCTGTGAGATGAGTCATCCTCACCACAACCATGCCCAGCCATGCCCAGGCTGTGGGTTCTACAGCCACCACTCAGAGCTTTGTGGTGAGGTGAGGTGAATTATCAACTAGGGGTCACGGAGGAGCCACCACATTTATCTTTGCAGGTTCTGCTTCCTCCTTGCCCTAAATGTTCTACCCCATCTGTTCTAATTTCAAGATCCTTTGCTTCATACCATAATATCAAAATATCAGTAATAATAACAATAATATTTGCTTTTACAGAGCAATTCCTATGTACCAGGAATGTGTTTGATACTCTGCAGATATATGTTTAGTTCAGTCCTCAGAGCAATGCTATCAGGGAGGCCAGCACTATTATTTTGTCCATTTTACAACCAAGGAAGCTGAGGCATATAGAAATACAGTAAATTTACCCAAAGTTATAAAAATAATAATTATAAGTACTAGGAATTCATGCAGTGCCTTAATAATTGAGCTTCCGAGGCATAAAGTTTCATACACATTGGAGAGTTTCTTTATAGTAAAAAACTTCTATCTAACTTACTTTTTAAACTAGCTTTTTCTGTTTGGTCTTGTTATGTGAAGGATGTAGGAGTCATTATTCTCCAAATTTTTAAGCATACAGTTGCACTTTGTGTTAGTTACTTCCTCATTACTGGGACAAAATACCCGACACCCACAATGTAAAGTAGGGGAGGTTTACTTTGGCTCACAGTTTGTGGAGGTTTTTGTCCATAGTCTACTGCATTCAAGGCAGGGAAGTGTGCTGAAGAGCACAGCAAAGGAAAAGCGACTCACTTCATCGTGGTCAGGAAGCTGAGAGAATGGAGAGGCCAGGGAGGCAGAAACATTTTTCTCAGTTATATCCCTGTGACCCACCTCTTCTGACCAGACTGCATCTCCTACAAGCAAGTCAAGTATAGCTCTGCAATCACCTTCCAAAATCCCATCTCTGAGTGAAGAAAGATGTTGGGCAATATCTAGATATAAACCATAGCACCTTCTGGAGACTGTGGACTTTTTCTGTCATCCTCAGTGAACAACTTGGATGAAAATGAAAGACAAGACGTTTATCTACACAGTGTGAAACCCAGCTGAACACACCAGAAGCAATTTACTTATAGGATCATTTGATTGCAGTGAGAAAAAGTAGGAAGTTCCCTATGAAAGAATAAGTGACCTGACTCTGAAGGAGCCAGAGAAAGGAGGTGGAGCCCAGTCTAAAGAGGCAAGTCCTTGAGGGGTGTGATCTGGATGGGTGTGTCTCCATCTCTAGCTCCTCTCCTCTCTCTGCTTCCTGACTGCCATGACGTGGGCAGTTTTCCTCCTCCAGACCTTTCCACCATGGTATTTCTTCTTTGGAGCCAGCCAACCAGGGACTGTGACCATGAGCCAAAAAAATCCTCCCCTTCTTTAAGGTTGTAGCTTTTGGGTACTGTGTCTCAGTGATGGAAAAAGTGACTAAAACACCTTACAGACTTTCTGGCTAGAGTAACGGTTTTGGTCATGAGGTCTGACAACAGAAACATTGACTACTGTATCATAACATCAGAAACCTTATAGAAATGAAATGGCAGGAAATTGTTTTGAACTAGTAGGATCCACTGTGGGGGAACTCAGTCCACATGGCAGTGTAGCAGCCCCTCATTTATGGGCCTTTAAACCAGCTCACCTACTCACAAAAATTGTCAAGTAGCCACCTTAGCTTTTATGCCCTATATGTTTCTTCTAAGACTCTAATCATTTTAATATTGAACTTGATGACTTTACTTCTTTCTAGTTTTGCTTATTCTTTGCTCTGGCCTCTCTTTTTGGGTGAGCACCTGTCCTTCAGACTTGAAGCCTGAGTGAATACATAGAATTAAGTGTGTGAGTGCTCTAAGGATTTTCCTCAAATTCACACTCTAAATCTTCAGCTCTTGGAAGTCTCAGGTTAGGTCCTATGACATACATCCATAACCACAGGCTTTTTAGTTTCTTTAGAAATTGCAAAGACTCTTTATTTTATATTTAATTGACAAATACAAATTATGTGCATGTATTGTATATAACATGTTTTGAAATATGTATGTAATGTGAGATGATTAAATCAAAGTGACTACCATACGCACTACTATACACACTATCTTTTGGCGAGAATACATTTTTTTTTGTCTTTTTGAGACCGGGTCTTGCTATGCAGTTCAGGCTGCTCTTGAACTTGCAATGATCCTCCTGCCTCAGCCTCCACAGTACTGGGATTACTAGCATGCTCCACCTCACCCAGCTTGGTGAGAATACTTAAAAGCTATTCTCTTGACAATTTTCAAGAATACAGTACATTCTTAGGAATCCTAGTGCCTATGTCGTACAATAAATCTCTTGAACTTGCTCCTTAACTGAAATTTTATAACCTTCAATCCCACTCTCAACCTCCTACTCTGGTAAAAGCCATTTTATGGTCCCCTTTTATGACTTAAACTTTTCACAATGTACGTGTGAGACCATACAGTGTTTGTCTTCCTGTGCCTGGCTTATTTTACTTAGCATAGTATCCTGCAGATTCATCCACGGCATCCCTAATGACAGAACATCCTTCTTTTAAAAGACTGAATAGTACTCCATCGCATGTCAGTGCCAAATTTTCTCTGCCATTAGTGGACTCCGAGGTCGATTCTCTGTCCTGACCATTGTGAAGAGCACTGCAGTGACTGTGACAGTGCAGATATCAGTGAGCACACTGATTTAATTTCCTTTGGATTTATGCTTGGTAGTGGGATTTCTGGATCCTGTTATAGTTGTATTTTTAATTTTGGGGGGAAGTACTAAACTGTTTTCCATAAGGACTGTACTAATTTACATTCTCACCAACAATGAACAAAGATTTGTACAGGTTCTCTCAAATATTTTTTATCTTTCAATACTTTGGTACTAGTCATTCTAAGAGATATGAGGTGATATCTCATTATATTTTTGATTTGCTAATCTCCAATGATTAGTGAGGTTGAGCAGTTTTTTATGTACCTGTTGGTTATTTATCCACCTTATTTTGAGAAATGTCTGTTTGGATGCTTTGCCTTTCTTTTTTTCAGTACTGGAGGTTGAACCCAAGGCCTTCACACTGAGCTATACATCCAGCCTTTTTAAAAAAATCTT